TCAGGCCTGGAAATTGTCGTGGGCACACCGGCAAGATTGCTAAAGTACATTATGATGGGAGTTTTGGACCCAGCCGGAATCAAAACTATTGCGGTCGATGAAGCAGATGGCTTGTTAGACCACCTTGGAGTCATTGAAGATATATTCGTATCGATTCCATCAGATGACTATCAGAAAGTGCTGACGAGCGTTGAAATGCCTTCCGAGCTGCTCGAGTTTTGTGAGGAAAACATGGGCCTGGTTCCAGAAAGTTCTAACTTCATCATCGAATCGAACTCCAAAACACTATTAGACTCACAAGAAGATATAGAAGATGATACCAGCGATGAAACAGAAATGGATTTCGAAGAATTCGTCGAGGATAACACCAGTGATGAACCAGAAATAGAGGTCGAAGAAGGTTTCGAAGATAATACCAGCTATGAAATGGAAATGGAAGTCGAAGAAGGTCTCGAAGACAATACCAGCAATGAACCAGAAATGGAAGTCGAAGATGTCATTCATAATGACTTCAACGACGAGATCATTACCGTGGAATTCGAAAGTGTTCAAGCGTCGGAAGTTTCAGTGGAGCTGAATACCGCTGTTTTGGCTGCCATGGACCATTGGCACACTGCTACTCGACCTGCGGATCGCCCAATCTTATCATTGGATATCATCGCATCTATGTCTCCCATCCCAAAGGTTGTTGTTTTGTTTGTTCCATCGGATGACGACGTTGAATCAGTGGCTACGGAACTAGAAATCTTTCACGACACACTGGTCAAAACATTGACAGATGGATCTTCCAACGATTATCACGCGCAAACACTCGATTCCATCCGGGCTCACTCCGAAAGCGGAGCGAGCGGAACCATGATTCTTGTCGCTTCTGACGCAGCTGCTTCCGGAGCCAACTTGCCTCCAGCAGATTTGATTTTGCAATATGGCATTCCAAGACAGCCATCGAACCCGAATCTCTACGATGCAAATGTCTACATGGCTCGAGTCCAACGTGCCTGTGGCGACAATAAGGATACCCAGGCTATGTTACTGTATGACTATGAAGAAGAGGGCCGGCTTTTGCCCGGCCTGCAGACAGAGATGGAAGTCGACAGTGATATCGTTCTGAAGCCCCGTGCACTTCCTTCTCCACATCACACTTTGGAAGCCTCCTACTCCCGCACCAAATCATATTGCGATAAATTGGATTGCTTACCTATAGTTGTGGATAGCTTTGAGAAACAGTTGAAAGCTGAGCTTGCCGGAATGGACGACATGGATCGTGAAGACGAACTGTTTCATCGCCTGGCAATTACCATGGCTGCTCTTTCGGATCCTTCGAAGCTCAGCAAAGAAAGCTCTTGAGAACCTCAAATCTGATGACAGCATGAATGCAGTGCATCATATCATTCACTTGAAATCAATTCACAAAATGCATGAAACTTGTATAGATGTGTATGTCCGTCTTTTTGTGGTACGTGTTCTCGTTATTCCACTCACTGGGCACTTCGAACATGAATTAGGATTAGTCTTATTCGGAATTGGAAGTACCGGTATGTTGTATGTTGTAGTAATATTCGAAGCTATATAAAACCTAGCATGTTTTTCTATATTTTATTGTTTCTATGTATCAAGAATACACTATGAATTCGTTCCCAATGATTAATGTTGTGCGAAATGACAGATGTCCGTGAAGTCAGGCCAGCAATTGAACCGATTGCTGATCGGGCATTTTCTTGCTGCTTGCCTTGGAATTTGATAGTATTTTATATATTATCTTCACGTCGCGTCGCTTTGGCGGCTTCCTACTGAACTTTCGAACAATAAGAGCTGCTGTTCAAGTCTTCCATGGTCCCAGAGTCGCCTTCAGCTTCAAGGCCGACTTTGTACCGAGCAGAGATGTCGATAGACGTGCAAGAGGTTCTTGTTGTTGCTAGGCCGTGGTCGCTAAAGGATGATTCATCCTCATCCCAATCTCGGTGCAGTTGTTGTAGCAGTTCACTAGCAGGCATGGTTGCTTTGTCTTCCACAAGGATGAGCTGTGACTTGTCCATATTGTTGCTTTTGAGTAGAGATTCAAAGTAAGCGTTCATTTTGCTTGATATATTGTTGAATGTATTATTATAATACCTGTAGATAGATAAAACTGTGACTGACGATATTTGTGTTATTGAGTGTTATTGATTGTCAAATTGAAAATAGTCTTTGGATCGTGTGACGTCCTTTTCAGAAGTTCTTTGACGGGATCGACAAGAAAACAGACAATAAGAAGGCGAATAAAAAGAACATAATAAAAATGGAAACACAGGTGATTTTGGCCGGTCGACTACGAGAACATGATTACCGCATCAAACACCATAATTAGAGCAATCGTGAATTTTGTCAGTTGTGGAAATATGACTCGTCAATGTTTTGACGCGTCCTTGGAAACTTGGATTGTCGAACGCGATGAAACAATTGTGGGACTCGTCCAAACGCCAAACGCCAACTCAACGGAATCCTATTTCGAGACACTACCCATCTCACCTTCACTACAGTGCAATACAATGTTCCCACAGGATCTTAGGACCTCGCCTTCTCTAATTTCAGAATCTTAGTTTTATGGGAACAGACATGCATGCTATGCTCCCCCGTCAATAAATTCTTGCAAGATTCCGGCAATGCTCATTCCGGCTTCGCACCTTTCCCTATAGAATCATACTATCAAAATATTCTTATAATGGATATTACAACTTTTAATAATTAAATTGGATAATCCACCAGTAAGCCAGTCTTCTTATCCACACAAATCATTTCTGGCAATCCTTGGCAGCAAATGTGGCAACAATCGCACTTGACTTCAGGCTTTGGCCCATGACAATCTGCCACCAGCATGTCTAATTTCTTTTCACAAATTTCCTTGGGCATGGTTCCAACAAAGTTGTTGTCGTGCAAGTCCAAGTATTCTAAAGGGGGGAGTGAGCGTAAGTGTTAGTTTACATCATGAGCTGCATGTAATAGTCTGTCGAGACATAAGAATAGTCTTCCTGTTGTTGCTGATCTTATGGAAGAAGGAGCATGCCAAGAGTCGCCACTCCAGACCATGCTATACTTACTCAATTTCGGAAGTTTTGCTAGCTCTTTTGGAATCGTCCCTGCTAGCTGGTTCGCGTAGAGATCCTGTAATGTCGCAATAACAATTGTGAGAGCTGACACCAATCCAATCACCAAAGTCACCAGGTCATAGCATCAATCGCGACTTACAATTCGTTCTGTAGTGATGAAATGAATGAACAAATGAATAAGATACAATATTCCATAGTAAAGTCAATCGTGTTCGTACAGTACCAAGAGAAGCAATTTGGTTAGGCTGGAAATTCGAAACATGCGCTACCCGTCCCCATTCGACGACAGTAAGCATCACAACATCCAAGACGTACCCAATTTCTTTAGTTCCGAAAGCTCTTTTGGGATCGTTCCAGAGAGGTAGTTACCATAGAGATAGAGTTCTTTGAGTTGCTTCATATTGGTAATCTCCTTGTGAATGGCTCCAAACATGCCGTTCATTTGAATTCGAAAGTACTCGAGATTCTTCAGGCCCACCAAGAGACGATGTGGAATGACACCCTGGAGTTCGTTACCGTGCAAGTCCAAATCTTTTAGTCCTGGTAACAGACCAATCTCCCTAGGAACCAATCCATCCACCAAGATATATCCCAAATCCAAATTGACGATCGTGCCAAACATGTTGCATTCCACTCCGTACCACTTGCATTCATGTTTGCTCGTCATCCAATCAGTGCTGTCATCCCACTGCACACCTTTGGTAGCGTAATAAACAACTGCCATGACAAAACGCTGTGCCGAAAAACTCTTTTTGGATCGCAGCATCCAACAGGCAGCTTCGTGCTGAGGTGTCTTTGGAGATTGAATTTGGGATTCTCCCACATTTCGGAACATCCATTGGAGGGCTGATTCATGTTTGCGTGTAATAATGGGTTGTCCAGCACACAAATTGCGATTACTTTCATATGCCATTTTCCTTTTGGCAGACGCTGCTGATGCGGAGGATGGAAATAAGAGAGAAATGCCAAGCAACAGGAGGACCTGCCAACGAGTTATGGCGAATCCTGCTCGAAGGATTGTGGACTGAATTTTGCTCATTTTGGGGAACTTTACTCTATCAGTGACACTAAGAATATAGGTGTCTTTATGCGGTGTTTAAATCGGAGGCAACTGAGTGTAGGGAGGCAAATGATATGGCTATGACACTTCGCATCCGATATAATGTCATGCATCTTCATCGTCATCCGATCCATCACATTCTCATACCTACGCCTGACGACTTACGTACCAAACTGATTTTTAACGCCCCCAATTAACCGTTTTCTAATGATGATTTTGAAAATTTTGAACAAATTGAAAATACTGTACCGAAAATACTTTGAACTTGTGTTTTTATTTTTTATTCGATTTTATGAAAGGCATGTATTCATACCCGTACTGGCGTCGTCTTTGAATCATGGCAAATAAGGAAGAAAACATTGGATTGCCTGCAGGCCTCATCGAGGCAGATTTCGAACAATACAAGAAATCCCAAAATGCTTGACTCGAACGGGAGCAGAAAAGCTACAGGAAACGAAAAATGATGGACACGACAGGTTGGAGCGAAGAAAGAAAAAAAACAATATGCGCGCGATAGAGAGATTAAAAATCAAAGCCAATAACGTACAAGAGCAAACACGAAGAAGGAAGCAGAAGAAGCCAGGCTAAGAGCAGAAAAGCTGCAAGCGGAAAAGCTCAAGCCTGACCCACCAGCTGCCATGTCGGACGACAGCTGGAACAGCTCCAACAATAACGGAAACGAGAACCCTTTAGAGGCAGTGATTGAAGAATTAAATGGCAGCGACACCCTCGCTTCTGCCGATGAAAATGCCAATCCCAATCAATCTGCTCCTGGGGTGAAACTCTCTCCAGAAGAAACCAAACTCAAGAAGCAACGAAGCTGAGCATAATCTCGAAACGAGCGGTTGCAATCTCGACTCAATGAGTTGGAAGGCCACATGCGATCCACGGAACAAGAAAACGACTACTTGAAAGATCAACTGCGAATGGTTCATTCAATGTCCGTGCCCGCTGGCTTTTGAAGGAGAAAATCTCTTGTAGTTGGCAGCCGGAACTTTCTAGTATTTGGCAATGATAATGGTATTTCTGCAAAGCTAGAAATAACGTTAGCTTATTTCTCTTGCTTTCCTCCTTCAGATCTTGTGTCCTATTTGCTCGAGCGAGAAAATATCGTCATCATTATGTCTATCCTCAGTCAAATTCATCCATCCACCAGTAATCCCGTGATGCTTCCTTGTCTTCCTCGGATTCGATTTGGGTGAACGATTCCACCTTGAAAGACTCCGACTTTAAGGTTTCAAAGTCCATTTGAAGAGTCATCAACTTCACTTCTGCATTTTCCAACTGTGTGCGCAACGTGTTGATCTCCTTATCGCGATGATTTAAAGCGATTTGGTGAAGCCTCTTCGTCGAATCGAGACTCTGTTTCATTTCCATTCTCAATTGGTTGAGAGCTTCCTCGGTTCGTTTCGAGGACATGTCCAACTTTTGCTCGTAGTCAGCTGCTCCATCCTGCATTTGCTGGCGCAAAGACCTGATCTCTTCGTCTCGATCCAAAATTGCCCCTTGCAATGTCTTGGTCAATTCGGTATTCCATTTTGATTCCTTTCTCAACTGTTCTATTTCGGCATCTGCTGCTTTCGGTGGAGTCATTGCCGGAATCGCCCAGTCACCAAGATCAATGATAAAATTGTCAGCCTCGTCAATCTTAGGCTGGTGTGCCGATTCTTCCTGTGCACGAGCAGTCTCCTCATCAGCCT